TATGTATGTATGTATGTATGTATGTATGTATGTATGTATGTATGTATGTATGTATGTTTGTATGTATGTATGTATGTATGAACAGAGAGAGAGAACATTTGTACAAAATAGAAAAATATGAAATGTTTTTATTTTGAAAAATATAAATGTTACAAAAACCAAAAGTCATGACCCATCCCTCAAATGAGATAAACATTTTGATATATGAATGGCTAAAATATCACAAAGTTGGCCAAAACAATTACAGTAGACTGCAAAAAAAACAAAGAAAAAATAAAAATGGGAAAATGCTGAGTCAGCATTCATTCAGTGATGTTCCACAGCTGATGAGCAGAAGTGATTGTGCTTTTAAACATTGGTAGTAAAACCATGATAAACCAACCAGTTTAAAGTTGGCTTCTTCAAAATCCAGTTCACAACCTTAACATCGCTGTGGTTCTGCAGACTCTGTGGGTTTTACCCCATTTGGGCACAGCTACACTAAAAACTGAAAAGCCTGATGTCTATTCCAGGACTCCGATAGGTCTGTTGCTGTTTGCTTTGCAGATGCCTCTGACTTTGGATCTAATGTAGCCTGACATGTGTGTGTGTGTGTTTGCTCTTTTCTCAGGGTGGCCAAATGAACTGTTGATCCCGAGGACCAAAGATCACAGGCTTCAATCTAACGGGGAGAAAACAGCAGCACTTTTAATACATTCTGCAGCTTCTCTTTGCATTATGAGCTGGGACTGAAGATCTGCTGTGTGCTTTCTGTTTGTGGTACGTTTTACTTGAACTGTGTACTCAACTTTACATTTGCCTCAGTTTTTACAGAAAAATGTTTCAAAGTTTTATTTATAGTCAAAGTTATCCATACAAGTTTGTGCTTGAATTTCTCTAAAATATTCCAATTTAGCACAAATGCTGCATAAATTACTGAGAAAGTCACATTGTTAACGAGCTCAAGCACTGAAGTTATAAATGTTTGCAGTTTAGAGATAAAGGCCAACAGTAACACGTGGTTTAGACAGCTAAAGGGACATTAAACGATGCATGTGTTGGCACTGTGACATGTGGTTTGATTTAGAGAGCAGCAGGTTAGAGTGGGAGGATTTCAGAGTCCGTCATCATTTCACACAAAGAGATTATTTTTTCCCACAGCCACAGTCATAACACAGAGCCTGTGTTAAAAAGGGATGGTGCCAACAGTAGTTGAAAAAGATTAAAGGCCTTCTGAGTTTTGAGCTGAGTGGTTTTCCGGTGCCACACTCATGTTGCAACGCTCTGATGTCACCCAGTCAAGGAGGTGGAAGTTCCTGACAAACTGGCAAAGTCTTCATCGACTTTGATAGAAAGTAAAGCCAGTGAAGGCATGTGGCTCCATGGCTTCCTAGGAAATCTTTCCCTCTAGAAAGACAAACTTCCTGGAGAGTGTTAGGAGTCCCGACTGCACGCAGGAATGAACACAAACACAATAGAGCGCACCGGACACAGAGGATGCCGGAAGGGTAGATTACTTAAATGTCAGGGACACAACGTCCAAACAACGCACTCGCCCTTTCCCTTCAGGTTTCATAAACTGATCCAGGAGTCCTATCTGGCAGGTGAGAGTCCTCTGTGGCCACTTGGAAAACTGATTCTTGACCTCGTTCTTTGGAGTGTTGTCATGGTTCAAAGATAACAGCACAGCCGTGGGACCATTTGCCAAATGCATTATGATGATCCAAGATGAAGTCATTCCTTAAGAGGAACACAGAGAAGCTTTTGTTGGCCTCACCCCACCCATCTGGAAGCATCAGTGGACGTAACTAATGCAGCAGCTCCTGTGGATGGAACACTGGAAAATGTTTAAAGGACTTTAAACACCTGGAGCGTTACATAGCTGTCCAGTTGCATTATGGGGGCAGCTGTGGCTGAGTGGTTAGAGCAGTCATCCTCCAATGTGAGAGTTGGGGGTTCAATTCGACCAGCCCTGCAGTCACATGGGGGCCAAGATGGTGTAGAGGCAGGGCAGCTGACTCGGGACCCGAAAGTCCCAGGTTCGATCCCCAGTCATTGCACATCTCGTGGTGTCTCTGAGCAGCACACCCTATCCCCAAATGCTCCCCAGGCACCTTCAATAGCTGCCCACTGCACCACCTAGTGGTGGATGGGTTAAATGCGGAGAGCCAATTTCACTATGACGACAATACAAAACACAATATTATTTATTATTAGTATAATTATGCTGAAGTGTCCCTGGGCAAGACGCTGACGCCCTCATTGCCTCCGATGTGCATCCCATCAGTGTAGGAATGTGAAAATGCATTGATTATTCTTTGGATAGACATCCAACCTTCAGTCAGGTCATCTGGACTGTCTCTTTTTTTACTGAGACATTCCGGCCTTCATCCAAAGGACTTCATCAGTCCGAGAAGCCACAAACAAACTGATTCTCACAAGCAGCACACTCCCATAGTAGATAAAACCCCGATAATTTGTTTGTGGCTCTTCGGATTGATGAAGTCCTTTGGATGAAGGACAAAACATCTCAGCAATAAAAGAGACCGTCCAGATGACCTGACTGAACATTGTTGGATTTTTACCTGGACTATTGAGGATGAACTTTGATATTTGTAAAGATATACAAACATCATTCATAGGACTAACATACGTACAAACATACAACACTGTGTTGTTTTTAAAGTGCTTTGTAAATAAAGTTGTATTGTATTGAATATAGTAGATTGCTGTATGAATGGGTAAATGAGGGCACAGATTGTAAAGTGCTTTGAGTATCTCAATAAAATAGAATGGCGCTGTATAAGTACAGTCCATGCACCATTTACCATTAACATAAAGAGACAAACTAAAGGTGGTGTGCTTTATGTTGGCTGCTTTCCAGGTGTGACAGAAGTGAAGTCAAAACCACGATGGACGTCAAGAAAAAAGAAATGGATCTCCTGAGCAACAGTATTGCTGCATTTGCACACATCAAATGTAAGCCACCCTTCAGAGCAGAGCAATGAACACTGATGGGATAGTCTGGTCATTTTTGGTGTGCTATTCTGTCAAAATTCCAATTTGATGTTCAAACTGAAGTTATTTATTTTCATTGTTCTGCCTCCTTAGCAAACCCAGAGAGCTTCGGCCTTTACTTCATTCTTGGAGTGTGTTTCGGCTTGGTGCTGACTCTCTGCCTCTTGGTGATCCGCATCTCCTGTAAGCCACGGACCAACGCCAGTCCCTCTACGCCTGAAAAGAAACACCTAAAAGCTGCCAGTGAGGAGGACGAGGAGAGCGACGACGATGAAGACGAAGAGGGGGATGATGTAGAGGCACCTGTTACGTTGCCCAGCACTGAAATCCCCATAGGTAACCACACCAGCCAATCAGATGGGACTCTGAGTGTGAACGTCTTTACCTCAGCCGAAGAGCTGGAGCGCGCACAGCGGCTGGAAGAAAGAGAACGAATCATCCGGGAGATCTGGAGGAATGGCCAGCCTGATATTCTGGGGACGGGAACAGGGACTATTGGAAGAGTACACTATTACTAAGATACATTAGACTAGAAGGAAAACCTGAGTTCAGAGGGGGAGTTATATGGACCTTTAGAAGGACCTGGTGTCCTCGAAGCCTGAGAGCCTGTGTTTGATACAAAATGATTTGTGAAACGAGGAACAAAAGAGTCAAGGTGCCACATTTGATGTACGTGGCTTTGACAGAGTTGAACTTTGAGATATTGCACTTCCACTGTAGCATTGTATTGTTAACTGTCTACATTTAACTGGACCAAAAAGTGCCTTAAGGGCTGAATTGCCTCTGTGGAAATGACGTGGTATGAATGTTGGAACTGAAGGACTTATGGTGAAATCGGTTTATTAAAATATATGGTGCTTACTGTCAGAGGTAAACGAAAGATGTGTGGATGTAGAGTGGGAAATGAAGCATTTTAAATAAAACGCACTATTGCAATGATAATCGTTTGTCTGCCATGAAATCTTATCATCTGTTGACTAATGAGGCTGTGGGAAAATGTCATTCTATGAAAACAACTGGCGGTGTGTTGTTAAAATTAAATTATATTGTTTAACAAACACAAACGGAACTGCAGGGGATCAAATACTTATACACGTACAGTACAATCATTGAATTTGGTGTATTTATTTTGTGCATTTGCATAAATGCTTTCAGTCATAATGCAGCACTTTTAATTTCAAAATGTCTCTTTTAAGAGACCTAAAGGTCAAAAGAATTCAATTTTATATTAATGTTACTTGAAACTCATTAGTGATATTATTTTTACAAACGGCAGTTGAGTCAGATGGTAAGTCTAAAAAGAAAGATGACTGAAATAAAAACACTCTGGAATGCTCAATCTGAGCATGAGTCAAGAATGTGTGCTGCCATCTTGGTAGGTGCTACTTGGCATTCTTATAGCCAACATGGCAGCAGGCCAAATAAACTAAACCAGCTAAAAGGATCCCAATGTTCTGCCAGTATTTGTTATTTAAAAAAATAATATTAAAAAGTAAATAATACTGGGCTCACCACTCACTCAAGACTAGATTGATAAAATTACTATTAATCAAAGTACTGAGGATAAGCATACAACTGAAAATATATTAAAATTATTGACATATATTCTTAAGTAATGGGCATTAGACTACAAACCTGTTTTACTTCCTGCAAAATAACCTGTATTTAGAGGTAAAATATATGTGCTAAATTGTAAATTAGTGTATAGGCATTTCATGCATGTGGAATAAATATTTCCAGAATTATGAGAGAAAATATTACATTATATAGGTTAAAGCTATTTTCCAAGTCAGCGTGACATCATCCGTTACGTGATGCCAAACCACCATTTTTCTTTGGTTGAAAATACTGTTGTGAAAAACTGATAAAGTGAATTAGATTAATTTATTTTTAACTCATTTATTTCTTCAAGTATATGCAAGAACGTTGTAAGGATATAGACAGAAACCCCGACCATGTCGCCTGAGTTGAGCTACACAGATGCTACAACCAAAACCAAAGAGGCCACGTAAGATTTATTTTCTAATAACTTAAAGGTGTAAAGCTTTCTATTAAATGTTAACATTCACCATATTCAACGTCCTGCTGTTTATTTTCATTCATTCAACCTTTATTTAGACAGGTTAATCCCATTGAGTCTCGAGGACTCATTTACAAGAGAGACCTGAATTTATAAGATAATTGACAAAATGAAGACCATCAATTCACATTAATTTGAACAGTCACACCATCTAATTCATGTAATAGTACGGTACTTGTTAAACAATTAAAAAAAACAAAACATAAAATAACATGTAAAACATTTATAATTTCTTACCCCATGCCTGTTTTCAGTACTATGTTTTTCTAAAGGTTTATTTAGTATATTTCATGTTCATATTCACTCAAGGCAATACAGATTTCTAGACAATTATTACACCTAAAGTAACAAAAACTACCGGTGATTAAAATGTGCCAGACATATGTGTGCACGGTGAGCAAAGCAAGCCTACAGAAGCTTTCCATCTTTCCCTTCTCAGTCTTTCAGATGGACAAATTAAACATTTTCTGTTCAGATGTTCTTGTTAGACGTGCAATAATTCACACAGCAACAGCTCACTATTTTGTCAACTTCCCCCAGACCAATATATCAGCCTGCTTGTACCGTACGTTCCAGATGTCCTACTTTGAGAATAGTAAAAAAAAAAAAAAAAAGTAAAGGTTAAAAGGTTAAAGGTTGAAATACAATGCAACCAATACTTCATTACCTACTTAAAGAGCAGTTTTGTACTGGTCTAGCTAAAAAAAAAAAAAAAAAATTAAATGACAACACTTGGTAATGTTACATAAATAATAATAATGTCATCACAATGTCAGCACTGCATGTTTCCATACAATGGTGAAATTAGTCTCTGCATTTAACCCATCCACCACCAGGTGGTGAAGTGGGCAGCTATTGAAAGCGCCCGGGGGGCATTTTGGGGATGAGGTGTGCTGCCCAGCGACGCCACGTGATGTGCAGTGACTGGGGATCGAACCTTGGACTTTCGGGTCCCAAGCCGGCTGCCCTGCCTCTACACCATCTCAATAAAATTGATAGGTTGACATTTGCAGTTGTTAATGCAAGACTGAGCTTGGTGGGAGGCTCATTACATTTTGTTTTAACAATATGCGTGATATTAGTTTATTTAAGTAAAATAAAGCTAGTTCTATGCATTAATGAAAAGGCGTTGTCAGTGTGTGGCTTTAACAAGGGGATAGCACTTAGCAAGATGGCGGTCTGAAATCTCGACTAGCCTGGAACAAACAAGTCCAGGACCCTCCTGCTGTGTCCTCCACCACTTCAGGTACTGTTTCGTTTATCAGTTTTAATATGAAGCTTGGATTTTGTGGATTTTCTTGGATTTTTATTTTTTGCTGGTTTATGTTTGGTAAAGATTACAAACGTGAGTAGCTCGGTTGGTTCAGGTCTTAGCCTCTTTAATTAACCAACAAGGAGCAGGTTGTGGTTTTCTGTAAGCTGACCTGGTCTTTTTGTGATCCAAAACTGATCTTGTAGTTTTCAAACTAAAACGTAATTTGCATCTTTTTTGACAAAAAAAAAAAGGATGTTTAATTAAGAGCCTTCATGCTGAATGTTTTTAGATGAATGTTATTCAGTAGATAATAGTTTTTGTGTAGCTGCTGCCTCAGACTCTCATAGATGATCTTCTAACATGAGTTGTCTTAAACTTTGTGATACAATCTGTTTTAAGTATATTTGCTGATAAAATGATTAACGCCCTCCAGAAGGCTGATTAGGTTCTGGTAATGTTTTAAATGTCTTTACAAAGCTGCATGGCTTAAAACTTCTGCCTACATTTTCTGAAAACGCTTCCTGCTGAACATCTGCACTTCCATTTGCCACATTAGAACCAGTTACAGTAAATGTTGATATTCAGCGCAGTGTTGTGTTTGTTGGCATTTTTGTGGGTTTTTCTTTGCACAACCTGCCGGTATCTTGAAGTGTTGCACTCACAAGATTCAGAAAACAGCAAATATTGCTTAAGACAAGGCTGCTATTGAACTGTTTATATTGAAAGCCACTTTTTGATTCTCTATCAGAGCTGGTTCTCCTCAAATCTGGTTGTTTCCAACTAGGCCTGCCGCAATAAACAAAATCAATTGATCGCATGATAAATGAAAATTATCAACCTCATTTTCATTTATCGGCTTTATCGTTTCTTCATCTTTCTCTTTCTACTGAAGACACTGGATGACAAAAATCTCAACTCTTCACTGATCCCTCCCTTTCTCTTTAAAATCCATTTTAATTGTCCAAAATCGCATTTTTGGATCGTTAAAAGCAGCTAAGCTGAGAAGCTAAGCTACGAGCTAAGCTAAGAGGCCGACCTTAGGAAAAAAACTCCGTCTTGTCGAAGTTCTAAAATTCACGGTTCGTGTAAAAAGTTGTTTTTCTCTGCAAAAAGAAGCTGAGAACTTGTTTACCGATGTTCTTAATTAAAATCTTTGTGTGACAAATGCTATGCTAAAGAGCTTGAACCACACTTAGCGTCTGCCATTTTGAGAACCGAAGAGAGACAGCCCATGTCACATCAAGGGGCCTCCCTCCCATTTTTCTTAAAGAGCCACACTGCTCGCTCCCTCACTATCCATCCTTCAGTTCAAACAGTTTTATACTGCCATCCGATGGTCAAAAAAGGTACTGCACTCAAAACAAATGAACGAACATTTCTTCTTAAATTTGACAATAATTACTAATTATTGTCAAATTTCAAATAATATTATCGTTTATCACAATAATTTCTGAAGCACTTAATCGCCCAGCAAAATTTGTTATCGTGACAAGCCTATTTCCAACTGGTCAAAGCTCTCTGCTGGTTGTTTTGTACCTGCACATGGATGGGCTACTTTAAAACCGATCAACTGGTGCACAACTCTGACTGCTCTTTTGTTGATCTGTATCATGTTTCGTGTTATTTTTGCATGTCGAGTAAAACATGATCACAGTTTCCCTGTCTTCAATGGTTTTTGTGAATCGCTATTGGATACTGCAGATCTGTTTTCCCATGATGGCAAGAAAGCATTTAAGGAATTATTGTAGCTTTATTTTTGGTAACCTTGTTGCTGCTTCCTGTTGAGTTCCAATTTCAGCCCATTCTGCGTGAGCACAACATCCCCTGTTGTAGTTTGTGCCGTCTAGCAGCTCAAATGCCCACGCATAGTTTGACCGTAATGACTTGTGTCAGCCTCTGTAATGTGGTTTTGGGAGGAGTGTACAACATCCACTCCTAAAACTCTGATGTTCTGAGTTTACAGGGATGACGAAGTCAGAGCTTGGGACGGCCAGTTTCGTTCGTGTGATGAATTAGTTCCGCCGCTGACAAAAATAGGATTTCGTCGCCAATACAGACGAATGAACCGCTCACGCTGTTTGGATGTTTGTGCTGGAAATTATCACAAGTGCTTTGTTGATTTACAAGAATTCTTGGCACGTCTGTAACATCCTGCAAAGAGGAAAAATTGACTAAATGTTCCCCAGTCCATGACATGTGTCAACATTCTTTTGCTCAGCCATCTTGGTGCCAGAAACATCTCAACTTCCATGCACCAAGACGTTGATGTAGAACGGGGTCAGATCAGGGAGTTCTGCCGGACTCAAAGGGCAGAGAGCTGCAGAAGCAGAACGGGTTCTGGTTTGCATGAGGGGTCCGCTGTGGTTTCAGTTGGCATCACCTCTGAAGTTCGGGAAACTTCTCAAATGGTTGCGGACTTTAGGTTTGAATTGATAAATTGATTTTCATTTTGTATAAATCTTAACGCATTGCACGCTAAATAGATTTACTAGCTCCAATCTTCTGGCCTGTCGCGATAAACAATAAATCAATCACATGATAAATGAAAATCGTCGACCACATTTTCATTTATCAGCTTTAATATTTCTTCGTTCTCTCTTTCTTCTGAAGACACTGGATGACAAAAAGCTCAACTCCGGTGCTCTTCACTGACCCCTCCCTTTCTCTTTTTTCATCAAAATCCATTTTAACTGTCCAAAATCACATTTTTGGATTGCTAAAAGCAGCTAAGCTGAGAAGCTAAGCTACGAGCTAAGATAACAGGCCAACCTCGAGGGGAAAAAAACCCTCTGCCTTGTCGAAGCTCCAACATTCACAGTTGAAACCCGTGCCTTCGTGAAAAAGTTGTTTTTCTCTGCAAAAAGAAGCTGAGAACCTGTTTACTGATTTTTTTTATTAAAAGCTTTGTGTAACAAATGCTATGCTAAAGAGCTCAAACCACACCTAGCGTCCGCCATTTTGAGAACTGAAGAGAGACAGCCCATGTCACGTCAAGGGGCCTCCCTCCCATTTTTCTTAAAGAGACACACTGCTCGCTCCCTCACTATCCATCCTTCGGTTCAAACAGTCTTATACTGCCATCCGGTGGTCAAAAAAAGGTACTACACACAAAAAAATTAACCAACATTTCTTCTTAAATTTGGGTTTGACAAATTTCAAACAATATTATCGTTTATCGTAGTAATTTCTGAGACAATTAATCGCTCAGCAAAATTTGTTTTATTGTGGCAGGCCTAACGATCACCTCTTTATATTAGAACAAGGAAAGCATCAGAGCACTTTTCAGGTCCTTAAGAATCCTGTCCTCTCAGCCGGGTGCAAGATGAGTAGGAATGGGGATTTTAATCCAAAACACTCTTCAAGTTTGTCTGTAATTTATTTTTCTTTGCATATCCCAAAAGGATTCAGGTGCAGAGACATGTGCTTCTGTTAATTCTGCCAACCTCAGATATTTTTATTCTTTTGCTTTCATTTGGGTTGATGGATCAACGTAGAGGGGGAGTAAAACTAAGTTTGCTGGTAACCATAGTTTCTGCACTAACATCCTTTCAAAATAAACTACGATTCCAGAAAGATACTGGGCGTTGCGCTAAAGTGTGCCAGAAAACGCAGTCCGAGTAGAAAAGCACCATTAGAAAACAACTTGGTGTGTCTTTCACAGGTGCCATTGTGGTTAAACAAAAAAATTCTTGTGAGGGTTGAATTATCCATCCATTATCTTTACCTGCATCTTCTTTTTCGGGTCGTGGGGGGTCACTGTGCGGGAGGCGGGGTACACCCTGGATTAGGTTGCAAGTCCATCACAGATGGTTGAATTAATTCTTCATATTTACTTTTTTAAGTATACTTTGAATATTTGAAAATCACCGCAACCTTAATCACAGGACTGGGACTTGGAATTGATTAGTTTATGGTTTACTTTAATGTACACAGTATGGATGCACGATATTGGATTTTTGGCTGATATCAGATATGCCGATATGTTAAAACCTTTTTGGCCGATAATCAATACCAATAGCTAATTTTTCCCTAGACCTACTTACAGAGACTACATAGCTTTCTCTGATGTGGAATTAAAATACTATGTTATTGTGTATGGTCTATGTCAGTTGGGCCTGCTACCAAATGCAGATGCCAAAAAGGGGGCTGAAAATGATGTAACACTATATATTATATAAAAAAACAGCACCTTTTATATCAGTGAATTATTTTGATGGAATGGCCGATGTCCGATATTTAACTTTATCGCTAATATCGGCCGATACCACGTCGATAATATTGTGCATCCCTAGTACACAGTCCTATTTGAAACTGATCATTTGTACATTCATAATATTTTACCAGTACATTTTCAATCTCTTGTGCTGCCCTTGTTATGATTTCTGTCTCCCGTTGTTTCAGTTGCAAAACTTGGAAGTTATGTTTCAAAATAAAAGCAGCAAAAATGAATATGGTAACCCTATTAAAGAGATTTCCGAATGAACTAATAGGAATGTGATTTTATCCAAGTAAATAAAAGCAAACCGACATCACTGGTTTAATTATTTTCTCGTTTTTTTAATTTTAACCTTGAATATTTCACCTCTAATCTCCCAAAGACTTCACTTTACACTTTATTAGTTATCATTCAGGACCAACATTGCTATATTTATCTGTGAAGTTAGATTATGTGAAAGCTGTTTATTGTGATTTATTGGTGTTCCTTGTTGGCCCAAGTGACCCATGACCACTCTAATCTGTACGCTGGAATGCAGAGCTTTAATAACGTTGTCTGCAAATTCTTGCACTTCAACTTTTGTCTTGTTTAAGTTAAATTCTCATGTAAGTGAAGCGTCCTCTAAATGAACATTATTTAACATATGTTTTAAAAGTACTTGCTTCCTGTGGGCATGTTAGAAGTGCCTGATAAGCTCCAGGTGTTGTCCACATGTGTTCAGCAGTTTTACCTTTCCAAACACAAAGCAGCACACTTTAACCAAAACCAAATCTTTATATAATGTCTGAGTCTGTTCCTGTGGCTAAGATGTATCAACGTCCATGTTTTTCTTTTATTCAAAAGGAGGATGTTCTGGATTTGCATTGACACAAGTTACCAAACGAGCAGAAGTGGCCAGAACTCAGAGCATTTTATGACGGCTCAAAATTAAAATTTTATTTAAAAAATGATGTTTGTTAATAGTAGTTTACTGAAATGTTCAATGTAGAAGGCAGCACTTGCAGTTTCCTCTCACTGCTGAAGAGTTTTAATGTTTGTTCACTTCTACCAGTCACCAAAAGCTTCTTCATAAGAACTGAAGCACTGCCCTCTAGTGGATGACTGCAGCATGACAGCGTTGTAAATATTTTCAGAAGCATTTGAGAGTTGAAGCTGCTTCAAAATGAAAATTAACAAATAAAATTAAATCTTGTGCAATTTTCTGAAAAAAATACTGCAAACAGGAAAAAAAAAATCTACAAGTTTCACTGAGGCCCTGATCTCAATGTTGGACAATAATCCATCACCTTACATACTGCATGTCCAAGAAGAGCACTGAGCACTGCTTGAACAAACTTGAAGATCTGAGCCCGTCCTCACCTGATTTAAATCCTTTAGAGAACCCTTCAGGCGCTCAGCAAACATCTGGATTAGAGACGAGTCACCATTCTGAGCAGCATTTAGCAAGTTGCTGCAGTTCTAATCAAATATACAGCAAAGTGAACGCTAATGGGCGTTCAAAAACAACATTAAAACTCGTTTCATTCAGCAGTGAGAGAAGAGGCTTCAGTAAACTACTTCTATTAACAAATAAATTTGTAAAGCTTTTAAAGTTTTTAGCTTATTTGTAAAACTAAACAGTTTATGTGCTTTAAAAATAGACAATTATTAGGTGAAAAGAAATAAAATTATTCATGTAATTTAGTTAGCAAAAAATGTAGCATATCACTTATGATGTACCTTTATT